CCTCATGAATGCAAGGCTAGCACTCCACCACTGAGCTACTTTCCCAGCCCTAAACTAATATTTTTAATATGTCTTTTAATAACTAATCAAATATTTGAAATAAAATTTCTAAGAATTTAAATACGCCATAAAGAAAGTGTGACCTAATTCTCACAACTACACACACCACACACACACACACACACACTTCATACCTGACAATTGGAAACTAAGTATCATTTCAAAACATGCTTCCCAAATTTTGAGTAGACAATGTAACTATACAACATCTGTTACATAGTAGAAACAATACTGTTATAGTTGTAATATCCTGATTACTATGCAATAAAATAGAAATGATGAAAAATAGCTGTCTTCTAATTTCTCAAATAATTACTTTATTTTCACTTTATTTTCACAAAATAAAGCTGTATTTTCTGAACTTCAAAATTTGTTCAAGGGGGAGGTCACAATTTTACATGTCCAGTTAAGTGTCCAGTGCTTCTTGATCAGAGTACCCTTCCATCATTCTCACCAATCCTTTCTATTCCCTCCCTTTATCACAAACTTTCTTTATCTAATATATACATTCATTATTCTGCTGTAAATTATTTATTGTTCTAGGAAGAGAATGTAGAGTAGAAAATAATCCAATACTCATTATTTAACAAAGCTAGTGACATACAATGTCAGTAGTTAAGAGCAAATATTTCTGTTGAGAACAAATATGGCTAGAAAAAATTGAAGGTAATGTTTTTTAGTGGTACTGAAGGTTGAACCCAGAGACCTGCCTGCATTAGCTAGGTAGGCACTGTACCACTAAATCAATCTGCTCATATTTTGTGCTTTTGTTATTTTTTTCTTCTTGTTTTCTTTTTTTATTGTTAATGTGATGGACAGAGGGGTTACAGTTACATAAGTAAGGTAATAAGTATATTTCTTGTCAAACTTGTTACCTCTTCCCTCATTTTTCTTCTACTTTCTCTACTCCTAACCCCATCCCCAAGTTGTACAGATTACTTCCAACATATTGATTTGTGTATGTCGCTGTTGCACTGGTTTCCCCATTGTCCTTTGTCTCACTATTCTGTTGTTCCCCTTCCCTCCCCTAATTCAAATAAATGTATATAAAATACCAGGGTACTAAAATCAAACACAATGACAGTGGGGGATATACCATGGGGAAAGAAGATACAAAAGAAACAAATCACATAGTACATTGAAAACAGCAACAGCAAAGAAAACATCTTGTGTCCATGTCTTGGAGTTCATTTTGCTTAGCATCATCTTATATAGTCATTTGTACATAGTTATTGAGCTAGTCTGCTCACCTGCTAAGATTATCCTAGATGTATACTAATTATTGCAAATAAGGGAAACCATGGGACCTATATTTCTTTGGGTCTTGATTACTTCACTTAGTATAATTTTTTCTAAGCCTTTCCATTTCCTTACAAATGGGGCAGGGTCAATCTTTTGGATGGAAGCATAGAATTCCATTTGTGTGTGTGTGTGTGTAATTCACATTTTTTTGATCCATTCATCTCTTGAGGGGCATCTGGGTTGAGTCCATATCTTAGCTATGGTGAATGATGTTGTGATAAACATAGTTGTGCTGTGTCAGAGGCATCAACCTGGGTAAGCCCATCTGAGCTCCTGTGTGCCGTGAGGGTGCATTCAGGCATGCATTCCTCTGGGGGAGAAAGGGACACCTGTTCCTCCATGCGGGGCAAAGGTTCTGAGTCCAGTGCCAGACTCAGGTGATGGTTTGTGGAAAGTGCCATTTGTGCTTCTCCTAGTTAACCCTGTAGAACAATGCCTCGAGATCCCCTTTGTGTACTCACCTGTGCTTTACCTACTTTTACAACTGAAACTGCTCCACATTTGTTGGCAAGGATTAGCTTTTCCTGCTTACTGACTTAAACTCTAATTGTCTGTGCTCCCATAAAACTGTTTAAGATTAATTCTCTGCCCCCTGACAAAAGATTTACTTCTCCTGCTTGTGTGCTTTATATAAGCATGTGATGTTTCAATAAACTTTGTCTATACCTGCATGATGTAGTCCCTTCCTGCCTAAGCCAGACATTGCATTCCCAGATCCCACTATGGAAATAGCGACAGTGCTGGTAGCTTTAGTGTAGCCTTGTTTGTGATCATTTGGGTAAATGCCCAGAAGTGGGAATGCTAGGTCATAGGGGAGCTTTATACTGCTTTCCAGAGTGTTTGAACAAGTTTATATTCCCACAGACAGTGCAGTAGGGTTCTCTTTTGTCCACATCCCCTCTAGCATCTGTTGTTATTAGATTTCTTGATTATAGCCATTCTAACTGGGGTGATCCTTACATATCACCCTGCACCAGAATCAATTCCAAATGTTTCAAAGACCTCGAAGTAAAAGCAGGAAGGAATAGTGAAACTCTAGGGCTCCTTGGCACAGATCAAAAGTTTCTCAATAGAGAACCAGAAACACAACAAATCAAAGAATGGTTGGACAAATGGGATTGCAGAGCTTCTATATAGGAAAGGACATAGCTGGCAAGATCAATAGGAAGCCCCTGGATTGGGAGAAGATCTTCAAAAGCCATACAACAGACAAGCACCTCATATCTAAAATATTCTTAGAGCTCAAAAAATTAGTTCCCCCCAAAACAAATCCTTAAAGAAAAAACCGCCCCATTAATAAGTGGGCTAGACTTGAAGGAGAGACTTCTCTGAAAAGGAAATAAGAATGGTCAATAGACATATAAAGAAATGCTCAACATCTCAGATAGATAGATAGATAGATAGATAGATAGATAGATAGATAGATAGATAGATAGATAGATAGATAGATAGATAGATAGATAGATAGATGATAGATAGATAATAGATAGATAGATTCTTTCACTGAGCTTCTTTTGCAAGGCTTACACTCTGCCACTTTGAGACACAAAGGCACTTATGGTCTTTTCTGAGTAGTTCATTGGAAATAAGAATCTCATGGACTTTTCTGTCCAGGCTGGCATTGAACCACAACCCTCAGATCTCAGTCTCCTGAATAGCTAGAGTTATAGGTGTAAGATAGCAGTTTTCAGCTTGAAAATGATATTTTTAAAAGCATCAGTTTTGTATGCCAACAATGAGAAGATTGAGTATGAAATCAGAAAAGCAACTGCACTTGTAATAGTCTCAAAGTAGACAATGTAACTGAACAACACTTGTCACATAGTAAAACAATAATACTATAGATGTAATATCCTGATTCGATATAGAATCAATTTAGCCAAGGAAATGAAGGGCATCTACAACACAACTAAAACCTTTTTTTTGGGGGGGGGTCCAGTCGTGGGGCCTGAACTCTGGGCCTGGGCGCTGTCCCTCAGCTCTTCAGCTCAAGGCTAGCACTCTACCACTTGAGCCACAGCACCACTTCCGGCTTTTTCCTTTTTGCTTATGTGGTGCTGAGGAATCGAACCCAGGGCCTTGAGCATGCAAAGCAAGCGCTCTACCACTGAGCCACCTTCCCAGCCCCCACAACTAAAACCTTTTGAAGAAGAAAGAAATTGAAAAAGATATAGGAAGGGGAAAGGGCTCCCATGTTCCTGGATTGGCAGAATTAATAATACAAAAATGTCAGTATTGCCCAAAGAAATCTACAATTCAATTCAGTACCCATAAAACACCAATGACATTCTTTACTGTGATTGAGAAAACAATCCAAAAATTCATATGAAACCACAAAAGGCCCTGAATCACAAAAGCAATACTGAGGGAAAAAAGTATAATAATTCAAAGTATAACAAGTAATAATTCAAATTATAATAAGATAATTCTATTACAGAGCTACAGTAATTAACTAGCTTGGCACTAGGACAAAAACAGGTCCAGTAAGAGAATAAAAGACCCAGAAATAATGTTTGATAAATGGTATTAGGAAAACTAGGTATTCACATCCAGAAAATTCAAACTGTAGCTCTATCTTTTACCCTGAACTAATATAAATCCAAAATTAATCAAATACCTCAATGTAAGTACTGAAACCATTAAAGTACTATAGGAAAAAGTAAAAGAAGCACTGAAATGTCTCAGCACAAGCAAGAACACCGAGTAAGGTACCAGGGGCTTGGTAAATTAGAGAACAGACAAAAGGGATTACATGAAACAGAAGTTTCTGCTTAGCATATAACACAGTTAAGCTAAAAAGTGAGCTTACAGAATGAGAAATCTTTGCCAGCTCTATGTCAGATAATTGTCTAATATCCAGAATATACAAAAATCTTAGGAAACTAAACCCTTAAAGAATTGATAATCTAATTAATAATAGGGCAAGTGAGCTAAACAGAGACTTCTCAGAAGAAGTACAAATGGCCAATAAATCCATGAAGAAAATTTTCAACATCTCTGGCCATAAAATAAAATGCAAACCAAAACAACACTCAAGCTATAGCTCTACTTTTGGCTTTTTGCTGGTTAACTGGAGATAAGAATCTCAAGGGCTTTCTTGCCCAAGCTGAGATCTAAGCCTCCAGAATGGATAAAATTAAAGGTGTGTGCCACTTTCAAGCCCCCCTTACAGTAATATAGCAGCAGTTGATGCCTTTCTCTTGTGCTAGGGAGGCACAGAAATATGTGCCAGAATGTTCTAAAAGCCAGTAAACAGGATAATTTAAGATATAGAATGCATGATCCAGATGGATAGAATGCATTGTATATATGTATACGGTATGTGAAGAATATTGTGAAAATCAATATCCAGAATGGGAAAAACTTACAACTGCTGGCTTTGGCTTAGAAAACACTGCAGAGTGAGCAGAGGGGCTATGTATCAAATTTATAGAGATGGCCCTAAATATATAATTCAAAATTGACCATTCAGGAAAAGAAAAATAGATTCAGTGCCAAATGATGAGTTTAGCGACCTGGGTGAGGAACTAGCCCATCGATCAATGAAAGGTAGATCATCTTGTGCCAATATTAGAGAATAAAAGCCCATATTTTCAGTCTCCAGAGCTTGCAAAGCAAAAAAGGTTTAACAAACTTACCAACAGTATCACATGGTTCATCTTTGTGTACACAGAAATCTTTCCTAGAAAGAGTAGAAAATAAATATAAAATTTCCACAACCAATATGCGTTATGTAAGAAATTTTAATTGTTATATAATTAATTCAATTATATGTTGTAGCTACAAAATTTAATGAAAATCAGAATAGGAATAACTACTTTTTAATGCTCAGCAGATTGGAGAGAAATTAAAATATAGTAAATTCACAACTGTTTTAATCTTGATATTATTAATCTATTTTATATACAATATTCCAAAAATAAAACATCATCTGAATTTTTGCCAGAGCCCATGACTTTGTTACAAAAATAAGTATTATCTGTTATTGGATATGGCTTTCCATTTGAAAATATTTATTAGATCTTTATTTCTTAAAACTCAAAAATAGTGTCCACATTGAAATTTTAAGTGTAAGAGAAACAATTTAAAGCAATATAACATTTTATATATGACTTGAAAATTTGACGAAGACTGATCATTTTAATTAGGATTTTATATAAATAGGCCCTAGCTATAAAAAATATCTATAATTTTTTTTCCTTTATTGTGCTATTGTTTCTAGAATCTAGCTATAAACATCACTAATTTTGTCCTTTATTTTGCTACTATCTCTTGGAGACCTTTTTTCAAGAATTGTTCATGCTATTACCAGTTTTTAGGATTTCATAGACCACAATTTATTAAAATTTACCATTTAAGGTTTTTAGATTTGGAGCCACTCTATATGAAATCAAAGCTTTTATCTGCCTTCTACCACTGATGTGATAGCAGGCAACTAACTCACTTACTCTTCTCAAATATTCCTCTATCATCTCATCTAAAAACCAGATTCAAGTCAGCACCAGTGACTGATTCCTGTAATTCTATCTAAAAACCAGATTCAAGTCAGCACCAGTGACTGATGCCTGTAATTCTAGCTACTTAAAAGGCTGAGTTTTGAGGACCATGGTTGGAAGCCACCCTGGGCAGAAAAATCCATTAAAATCTTAACTCCAATTAACCAGAAAAAAAAGCTGGAAATGGGCCTGTGCTGCAACTAGAAGAGCTTTGGCCTTGAGTAAAAAAGCTAAGGGGCAGTGTCCACAGCCTGAGTTCACACCCCAGTACTGGCACAAGAAGAAAGGCTTGATCCTACTACGAAGGTTTATTCTATAGATTGATTAATCAGCTGTCAAATATTTAGAACACAGTCACTATGTGACTGAATGCATTTTCTCATATAACTAAGTCAAAGAATTTCAGTCACAAAATAACTAGTTCTCAAAATTTGAGATTTTATTTTAGAAACACTGTGATAATAATTTTTCCTAAGTCAGACACAGTTTGACTCTTACATATTAGATCATAGCTTGAATCTTGCATATTCAGTCATATAAATATCTTATATTTGCCCCAAAATACTCATAAACACACCATACTACTTTATATAATAAGTAGAACCACTACCATTTAGAAAATATGAATGAGTTTAGATTTGATGTAAGTTCCATTCTGGAGATGATAGACAGCAATTAAGCAAATAATGTCTATGTTTCTCTGTCTTTAACTATAAAATAGAATTGGTCTAAAATATTCCTATAAGAAGCACATGATATAAGTTTTTCAAAAACTTTCTAGGAACTTTAAACATGTTGGTGATAATATTTCTTTAGGTGATATGGAATTTTTTTTTTGGTAGGTCATGGGGGCTGAACTCTGGGCCTGGGCACTGTCCCTTAGCTCTTCAGCTCAAGGCAAGCACCTACCACTTGAGCCACAGAACCACTTTTTTCTGCTTATGTGGTGCTGAGGAATTGAACCAAGGGCCTCATGGATGAAAACACAAGCACTCTACCAGTGAGCAACTTCCCACCCAATTCCGAAATTTATTAACTTCTTTTACTACTTGACATTAGGTTGTTTTTATTGCTACTGCTATTATTCTTAGAACATAACATAAACAAATACCCACTGACCATGTAGGTTCTACACAATTTTCTGTTTTTAAATATTGTATTGTTATTATAGTAGTGATGGTGGTTCTGCACAATTATAGTGGTATTATAATGGTTCTACACAATTTTCACCGTTATAAACAGTAGTGTAATTGGTTTGGGGTATATGAATAAGAAAGAAAACCCTCTTTAAAAAAAATCTTCTCTCAATTATCAGGTCAAAATGTTTTTCTTAAATGAAAAAATGACTAAAATTCCAATGCAATCTTTAGCCAATTCATTAACAATTAAATTTGTATTAACCATTACAATTTACATCTTTTTTGACCCATCAACACACTTGTCAGTTGTTAACTATATAGAATCTTATATACTTCTTTGAATGCATGTGTTTTTGGAATGGTATGTAATACATGCTCATGAGGTATCCCTAGTCAATGTTCTGATTATTTAACTGAATAGAAATTTGGGGTTAATTTTTACATCTTTTAGTGGGGAACAATTGTTAAAAATTCCCTTAGGGCTGGATGTAAATGTAACTCGGCAGTATAGACCTTTTCTAGCTCTTGTGATTATAAATTTTTAGATTCTACTAATTTTTGTTTTATTTAAAAGCTAAATATTTAAATTCTAAGTTTGTATTTTATTTTCAATAACTATTATGTAAAAATATTTATTTTTGTGTATTTTATTAGAGATATGGTTTGATATTAATGTCAGTATGTTCATAATAAATTAGTTTTTGTTTGATGTATCTTTTTATTTTACTTCAGGTTTGAGCTCAGAGCTTCTCTCACTCAGCTTTCTTATTCACAGTTTATTCCATATAAGTCACTCAAACAATATTCTATCTCTTGAGCCGCTCATCTAGCCTGGCTTATTGCTATTTAATTAGCAATGGAAACTTGAAAACCATTCTTCCTAGGCCAGCTTCAAACTCTGATTCTATGAATCTCAGCCTCCTGAGTACCTAGAATTATAGGTGTAAGCCACCAGCAGCTATTTTTCTATTTATTCCCATCTAGCTATACTTTCCTATCTTGTTTGTGTTTCAAAGTAATATTAAAATGTGCTTAATGTTGATTCAGTTTTCATTTTCAAGAAGAGTCTATTACTTTCTTATTGATACTGTGAAAAATCATATAGCTTAGTGACTTAAGTTTATTACCTTAGAGTATACAGATCAGAAGTTGAGAAATTTTACATTACTGTGTTCCTTGCAGAAGTGAAATTGTCTTTTCTTTCCTATTCTACTCATTAGTGGTTTTTCAGATTCCTTGATACAAAATCCCTTTCCATATAAAGGCTACCCCTTGCATCACTTAACTATCACATCCACAATCACATCTCCTCTGAACCCTCTGCCACTTTCTGTCTGTACTGCCTCAATTGATTTGGTCACAGAGATAATCCTAGATAATTTCAACATCTCAATACAGTCACGTTGTCAGCTATAAAAGATAACATATTCACAGGCTCTGAGAATTAGACCATTAATATGGGTGAGTGCATTATTCTGCCTACCACATAAATTTTATATCTAAAATAAAAAATTGTGTGTAGTCTTTACTGCCAGGCCAAGACACAAAATATTTTTAAAATTCTTCCTCACTCTTTTATGCTTAGAAATTAGATATCTGGACCCATCTTGTCACTAAGATCTCAAATTATATGGGATTTTAAAATCATCAATGCTGCTTTCCTTAGTTCTATTTTCCATTTTCAAACGGTAGATAGGATATTCTTTTTTCTTTAATATATCATTCAGTAAAAACCTGTAAACTAAGTTGTCACAGTGTTTATTTCTTTCCTTTTTTACTATTTGGAAATTATTCATAATACTACCTGAACATAGAATTTTAGACTGAATTTATTGAGTCCTAACACTTAGACACCATTTCATTTAATGCTAATATTCATAAACATTGATTAGAAATCTATAATTGCATGTTTTGCTCTTCTTGGATTCATTTCACCCATTTCTGGTTAATTTCAATATCTCTTTTTGTCTTCGTAGTTATTTAGTTCCAATTAGATGTTTCTAAGTTGTGATACTATGGTAATTTGTCCTCTGTGGAGCATGGATATTTTTTCAATTGAAAGTCTATGGACATATTAAAATCCTTACCATTATCTCTGAAATTCTGTTTTTCCACAGAAGTACTTTAGAAGTCTCTTTCTGATGTCTGCAACATTCAATTTCCTTTTGCATTTCCAACTTTTAACAACTCAGTCTTCTACAAGAATTATTCAGACCCACCACTCATTCAACTAGTGCTTTCTTCAGCTGCATCAAATCTCTTCAGCTAAGAAGCTGAGTTTTTTTAAGAATAAATATTGTAATTTCTTTTCTAGAATTTTTTCTCAGTTTTCAAACCAAGTATTGTCCAAGAACATTTTATTCCCATTTGTGAATGATTTCTTTATGTAATGATGCTTTTTTATAATCCCATCAGTAATTTTTAATATGTTTTTCATTATACTCAGGTTTTTACAGTGGGTGATGCTCTTATTGTGAATGTTGATATTCTATTATGAGCTCATTTAATGCTACTACATTTATAGATTCCTTGCATCATATAAAGCAAGAAAGAGTCTCTGTAGAACAGTTTTGAAAATACTTTGAATTTAGAACTTTGAATTTGAAATTAGACTCATGAAACTCAATTCTGGAGTCATCTTTATCCTAACCTTCAGTATGGAAGAAACAGAGTGATTGTTGACACTCTGGGCTGGACAGCAGAGATTTGACCACATATGTTTATGAAGAGTCTGAATTTCTAAGAGTTATAATTATTTATAATCATATAATCATATTTGTTCCACTTTTTACTTAGAATAGCCTCAGTGTCTTTCCTTTACATGACACTGCATTCCTTAGTTCAAACTGCTCTCACACAGTCATTACCTGGCTATATAAGGAGCTTATAGATGGGCATACAAACATATTCATGTATTTTCCTACAATCTACAGTTGTGTAGAATTACAAGAGTTTATGATTATCCAGTAAGATTATCAGAATTAAAATAAATGAACTACATTTGTGACTTGATATTTAGAAGTTATGATAAGTGAAAGGATAACTTT